GGATGGCGCGGCGCTGACCCCGCGGACCCTTCGCCCGACTCGTGCGCGCCTGTCCCGGAGTGTGAGAAGGTGGCTCTGCAGCCGGCAGGATGACCAACCCCGCGGCCGCGCAGAACCAGGAAATAGACTGCCTGAGCCCCGAGGCCCAGAGGCTGGTAAGAGGGACACGCGTCCCCCAGACTTTCCTTTGGGACTGCGAACGGCCCGGTCGCTGGGCTCCGACCGTCCCAAGGGCAAGGCCAGTGGGCACCCTCCTCGGCCCCAGGAGGAGTGGGTGGGCCCCGCGGGGCCGGACCTTCGGAAGTTTAGACTGTCCCAACAGCAGGGCCGGGGAGCAGGCTCTGCGCGGGGACGCGGTCGCGCCGCCCTGGCCGGCAGGAAAGCGCGCCTCGTAGTAGGGCGCCGTCCGCTGGCGGAGCCGGGATGAGGCCTCTGCCCTCTGCCCAGGCTCTGCAGGCTGGGTGGCTGTGGCTTGGGTCAGCCGAGGCCCACCTGGCACCTGGTCTGCAGTTTCCCACCGCTGCTCCGTCGGCTCCGAGGACCTGGCGCCCAGGGCTGGCGCGCACCTCCAGCTCTCAGCGCAGCGGCCAGGGGCGCCGCCCCTGCCCCCGCTCCCGCCCCCGCTCCTGCTGCTGTTCCCGACCTTAGGGCCGCCTCCCCCGGACCGCTGGGGCTGGTCTCCCGGGTCTTCCGGATTCCCGACAGGACCCCCATCTGTAGGAAGCCCCTTTTCTCCAGCCCAATTCCTGATAGTAGGACCACGGATGTCAGATAGTTTGGCGTTAGAATGGGACAGCTGATGGAGAACAAGAATATTTGAAAGTGAAAGGGTGTACTTTAGAAAAGAAGTGTTTTACGGAATTAGCACTGCCGGGCCAGAGACCTTAGATTTCCACCGCATCCTGTCTCTGGGACCTGGACAGTGTGGGCCCCAAAGGAGCCGTCCTTCAGGGGTGGGGATTAGTCATCCAGGCGGGCATCTGTGTGCCCGGTTCAAGAGAGGAGGCCCGCCCTGCTAGGAGTGACAGGCAGAGGAGTGGTCCTGACTAGCACACCCTGGGAAGTTCGGGTCCTGGCTGAGGACTGTCAGGTAGCATTTTTAAAATGTCCATTTCCTGTGGTTTTCCTATGAGCTCATTTCAAGTTCCAGCAGCCGGCCAGACTTCTGGAGCTGGTTTCTGCCTTTTAACCTAAGGCCTGTGACCCTGCAGGGACCCCAGAATCACCGTCAGGAAAGGTTCTGGAAGGAAGGATGGGAGGCTGCTGATCCGCAGTGTTCAGGGAAGCAGCCTGGCAGGCCACAGATGGCTAGGACAGGGTGGGCCGTAAGAGCCAGCAGCTGGCTGAGCCCTTGGACAGGGAAGAATGAAAAGGGACATCAGGAGGTGCCTCGGAACCTGTGAAGGAACTGGGGTGTGCTGATTGAGGGATCCGGGAGACACCTCCCCGAGAGGTCACTCCTCCTCGGAAGGAGTGACCGAGTCTGCCTGGGTCAGCCGATGGGCCCAGCCCACCATCCCTTGTCCCCCATTCCGGAATCCAGTGAGCACTGAAAACCGAAAGGCTTGTGTGTCGTTTTGTTTTGTTCATTTTGCTTTTTCTGAAGTTTGGCGGAATTCATTTTAGGCTTTATGTAGGCCTCCCTGGGAATCTCCACCTTTCTCTGCAGCCTCGTCACTGTATTTGATTATGGGCTGCTCCTCTGAGTTACTGGAGTATAGTTTTTGCATCTCATTACTCTTACAGAATTAAAAACAAAAGTGACTTCTGAAGCACATTCGGTCCCAGGGCTTTCCAGTTAGAACTGAGCACCTGGGGGGACGGGGCCCAGCAGTAGAGCCCCTCATTTGGAGACCTCCACGTGGTGGCTGGCAGTGGGTTGTGGCATCGCGCCCTGCTGGGGTGCTGTCTCTCTCATAGAAAAAATAAACAAACTAAAAAGAAACTGAACCTGTAGAATCTTTTTTAGAAAAAAGTAGCAAAAACTTGGTTAGGGTGGGCCGTGGACTGCAGGGGTATTATAAACCCTGGGTCCTGGCTATGGGGTTATGGTCTGCTTGGCAGGAACTGCTTAATGGCGGGAGGTGCTTTCGAAGGGGAGTCACCCCTGCCCTGAGTCACAGGCTAGATATGGCAGCTGGAGACCGGTAGTGGGTGCTTCAGACTGGTCTGTGCCAGTGCGTATCTACATTAAGTGAACCTGGGTCCTGGGAGCTGGAGCCTCCAGTGGGGAGGAGGGGCTGGGTCCAGAGCTGGGCAGGAGGAGGAAGCCTGGACCGCGCCACCTCTCCTAAGGAAAAGAAAGGCAGGACCCTCAGAGAGCAGAAGTCGGCACCCACGGCTTCTTAGGCAAGTCGGCACTGGCCCCGAGCTGCAGGAGGGATCGGCAAGGACAGTGCAGAAACCACACATTTCTTTAACTTTGGTAACTTCCCCGTGTTTGCGACAGGTTGTGTCATCTCTGGCCTCTTTCCACATACCGATTAGCGCCCGGCCCTCATAAATGGCCCGTCCTGTCCCCAGGAGAGGCTGTCAGGGTAGAAGGAAAACACACCTTCTCCACAGTCCTGTGTCACTGTAGGTTCTGGGCCAGGTCCCTAGGTCTGAAACAGGTGGGGGTGACCTCAGTGGGAAGACAGCTGGCCCTGCTGTCCTGCGGTTGGAGATGGGCACCCCGGACCACGTGGTGGGGGAGCTGGTCATCTGCCCTGTGGGGAGGGCGCAGGTGCCAGGCCGCGTCTCCCTGATAGTGCCAGGAGTGTTCTGCTGGGTGAAGATGGAGACTCAATTTCCCCTTTTCTTTAACAGTGAGTTTCTGTTCAGCTGAACCAATATCGCTCAGCGGAAGCCTCCTTAGCAGATTTCAAAAAGCCCTGCCGTCTCAACTGCCTCTTATACCGAGCACAGGAAACCCAGTTATTTATAGCTGCAGAATTGCTTCGGCAAAGCCAAACACATCGGAGTGTTACCTGGTTGGGTGCCGATCCAGTCCCTACAGAACTGTCGGACTAAATGTTGGTATAGTGGGTTTGCTCCTCAAAAGGCAATGTTCGAGAGGAATTTCTTATCCTGAAAAATCAGGCTTTGTGACTCAGCGAAGGAATTGTTTATGACTGGTTACTCATATGCCAGCGTTTCCAAAGTATCCGTTCCTGTTTGAAAGATTAACCGTGCAGCCCCAGAGGCCAGCAGTGCTCAGAGTATGAACCTGGCATCCAGTCAGGAAGCCTGTACTCCCACCGCAGTTAGACCCGCGTGGGCCGAGAGCAGGTTTTCTCACCTTGCTGTTTTTACCGGAGGCCTCCAAGATTGTAGTTTCTTTTTTTTTTTTTAAATAAAGCAGCTCCTTTTCATGGAATGGATTGACAAGAATTTCCATTACTCAGATTGTCTAGATAAAAGTAAGGAAATTCGCCTCTCCCAAATTAAAGCATTATTTTGACTACACCCAAGGTTTAGTAATTCAGTTTTGTCATGTTTGATCGTGATTTATTACGAATTTCCTCTCCTAGGCCATATTCCAAAACAATAAAATAAAACAAAACAGCGAAACACCCAGCAACACAAATGTGTATTCTGGGACCCATTCATTCATTGGGGAAGACTGGAGTTTTCGTGGTTTCACCTTAATACTGTTATCAGGGTAACAGGTATTAATGCCAGGGAAGTTGTTTGCTTTTGAATCTAAAGTGCAGTTGCTTTGTAGTAAAGAACTAATTGATCTGAAATTAGTGTAGTGAAGCTGGACTTTTAATTGTCATGGAAATGTTTCATTTACATGTTTGCATAATGGAGATTAGGATAGCACTATCCTCTGCTCTCTCTGTCTTCCTCATTACCTGTGGCACACGGGTGTGTGGTTTTCCTAGGGAAGAGCTGGCGTGGGCCTCGGCGTGTCTGGGAACAGCCCCGCCTCCTCCGCAATGTCCGGGTGGTGCTTTTCCTGCCACTCTGCTGGGTGGCCACTGGCGGGGGGGGCTCCCCTGCTTTTTCCCCCCCCCCCCCGCATGTCGGGGGTGTTCTTCCCCCTGCCACTCTGCTGGGTGGCCACTGGCGGGCGTGGCTCCTGTTTGTGCTTTTTTAAGCTTAACCTGCCCTGAATGCTCGGCCAGGCCAGCGGCTGTCCTGGGCGACGCTTCGTGAGCAGTTGGAGGAGCTGGTGTGACCCAAACTCCTGCTGAGTTGGCCTGGGAGAGGTGTTGTAGAAGTCTCCCTTAGGGGGGCAACAGGGGGCATGGTGGTTAATGCAGCTGGTTCCCACACGGCCAACCATGCTTCAAGTCCCAGACCCAGTGGCTTGAACATCATGCCAGGCGTGGGTGCATGCGTGCCCAAAATCCCTGGAGGAGAATGGAGGAGAAGGGATTGTGATATGGCCATCTCCCTAGGGGCGGGGAAGTTCTCACTTTCCCGTTCACTGTCTCTGTCTCTCTGGTGAGTGCATGCGCCTTATGGCAAAAACCTGGGGGGGGGGGCTTTCTTAGCCCTTGCTGTGACTTGGTGGGGAGCAGATGATTGTACTCCCTCTGTACAGATAAAGAGGAGACCCAGATTCAGAAAGGTCGGGGATTTCCGAAGTCCCCGCAGGTAGTGGGCAGTGGACCAGGTCAGACCCCGGCACACTGACTCGGCCCGGGGCTGCGAGCTTTCTCCCCTGGCGATGCTCCCGGCGGCCAGCAGTCAGCCAGCACTGTGCAGCAGCGGCCGCAGGTGCTGAGGCTCTCGGCAGCTGCTCTCGGCAGCCCTGGGGTTCACACCCCGATATCTATCAGGGCCGAAAGGTTTCTTCTTCCTACGGCAGCTTCTCAGGACACAGTCCCTGCCCCTGGATGCTCACTGAGAAGGCCTCACCTTTGCCCTCTGTGTAGTTCGCAGACCAGAGAACCTTCAGTGGACTGTAGTTTTCTAAATATGGAAAAGAGCAGTAATGCAGGAGCTGCGGAAGCGTGTGTGCCACTCTTCCGCACTCCTAATGTGGCCGTGGCTCAGGTCAGCCAGACCTGGGACCGCGGCGACCTAAGCCTTTACCCCCATGTCTTGTGTGGGTTCTCCCCCACCCCACCAGATAGACAGGTTTACCGAAGAGGGGACTGGTGGCTTCTGCCTGTCTTAGAGCTGGTCCCAGGATGCCAGACGGTTGGCAGTCGTGCTCTGC